CTTTCCAATACTCGTCAATCACGGATGCACACACCTCTACAATTCCCTTGGCGGATACCGTAGTGAGCGGATCGCCGCTGGGTATTGGTTGTTGGCGGTAGGCTCACCTTGCTCTCATTGGAAGTAGTTGTAGTTGTAATAATATACAGACATGGGACCCTCAGCGGTCACTCAGAACCTCTGCGTTCACTTGTCTGTATTTCCATATGTATTACAAATAGACAAGGGATCCTCTGGGATCACTTAGAACCTCTGCGTTCACTTGTCTTTGAGAAACGAAAGCGTAAGCACACGGCCTCTGTCGCCACCCCAATTACTAAAGGTAATTTGTCGTTCAATAAGAAAAGAAAGAAAGAACCACCAATAAAACATGAATTTACTCTAGAATTATTACTAATTATTCTTGTATTTTATTCTTAGCTATTTTCTTTCTTTTTACACCACACGCGCGAATCACCCGCACCACATCTCTCACCTACACATCATATCACATAATAACTCTGGGGAGTTTTTGTTGTCTTGACGCTATCGAAGCCATTCTCCCCACTCCCCTGAGTTAAACATTGGTCGCATCGAACCGGATAAAAGCCATCCCTTTGTCGTTGCTCCCTGTATTGCATGAAGAAATCGCTGGATTCTCTTTCAACACTATAATCAACACTAAGAAAAAGGTACGTAAATTCAGATTACCATTTGAGGTGAGCTACCCGCGGTTTCTTAGTGAATATTTAAATTGTTTCGGTTTGGTCGAATCTCAATTGCTCTACGCGCGTGTGACATATGAAATACAGTCCACTCTCGTCTTTGCATAAAAATTTTACTCGTTGTACTGATCATCTAACATCGCGGTGATCATACATTTGCTTTTCGTTTAAGAACAAGTCAGTTGGTCGACTTATATTAACACTTCTTGTGTTAATCAAGTGCATTTTCCTTTAGTTCTCTCGTTGTGAAAATAATTAGCTTCACTTGTACTGATCATCCGTCGTCGCGTTGGTCATACAAAAATATTTGGTGCTCTTGTCATTACCGCTCTGTTCGTTTATTTCCATTTCTAACTCTCATTTCAAATGTTGAACCCTTTGTGAGAATAGAAAGTGTCCCGCCATAGTTGGTACATCAGCACAGCATACAGTCACATTCTTTTATATTTGGTCGTTTGGTTTATTTGTTGTTCAATTTCTCACCAACCAAACGTTCGCTGTTGTTATCCCACTTCACGTTTCAAAGGTTGAGCCCTTTAACGAGAATTGTTTGTTTCTAATTAGCAATAACAACACACTTGTAATAACAGTGCATCCATCTGTCGGTTGGTTATTTTGTCGTCGTCACTAACGCGCATTTATTGTTGTTGCAATTTTTCTAACATTATTTAACAATATTTATAACATATTGTCGTATTTGGAGGTTTTTATTTGTGGAAATTTCTCAATGTTTTTGTTAAAAATAAACTAGTTACATAATGTCGATAACGCCAGTTACTCGCTTTGTTAGAGCTTCTAACACTCTTCTCAAATCTGTTGAATTCTTCGAACAGATAAAAGAATCTCAATTTACTGTATGTAATCTTGAAATTCGAATTTTGGAAATTCAAGAATTTTGGGATAAGGTCTTGAGCACTTACACTGAGTGCAAAAACTACCTCACGGCATCCGATACTGCACAGGTTGATAATTTGAATGGCGTTGAGGATAAATATAATAATTCATTTATCGCATACCACTGGTATTTGACCACAATTAAGCGGCATCTGGCTCGTCTCAAATCACCCGTCTATGAGAATTGTTCTGCTATAGCTCCTCCTCCTAATAGTGATAGTGTTACACCACCATCAGGCTTGCTTTCGAGCGAACCTAACTTTTCGGTTCCTGTGCAGTCTGTTTCTCCACCCGTTGATGTTTTTTCCAAATCTTCTCCTAATAATAGTTGCTCCAATCCCTCCTTCCATAATCAATGTTACATGTTGCCACCTCTAGATATCAAAGTTTTTGCTGGTGATTTTGTCGCTTGGCCCACATTTCGTGATTTGTTCACCATACTCTTTGTAAAAAATGAACGTCTTTCAAACATAGAGCGTCTCTCCTATCTTTTGCAGAAGACTACTGGTGATGCCAGAACCATAGTTTCGAGATTTCCACTCACCAATAGTAGCTTCCCATTGGCATGGAAAGCTTTAATGGAGGCTTTCGACAATAAACGCATCATAGTAAATAGCCATATCAAAAACTTGTTTGATATTCCTTCCATAGATAGAGAAACTAGTCAAGGTTTGGAAAATATTCAAAGTGGAATAAATAGTTGTCTCGCTGCAATGGCCGTCTATGACGTCGCCACGGTTCAGTGGGATCCGATTATTTTGTATATGTGTTTGCAGTGCTTGCCAAAAATAACTTTAACTCTGTGGGAGCAAAGCATCAAAAATAAGTCGTTGTTGCCTTCTTGGCCAGACTTAGATGCTTCAGAATATACACAAAAGTCCGCCCACAGAAAAGTCAAAAATAGTCACTTCTCCTATTTCCTCGAATAAATCATTTTTATCCCAGAAAGAAATCCTTATCATCACAGAATGTTTCACCTCATTGCTCCTCCACTAGATCGTTGGCACCCAAGCATGTTCGTACATCTAGTTCCATTATTAAAAAGTCATTGGTACATAGGCCAAAATCTGTTCCTTCATCTCAGTCTACTAATTTACTGTCAAGTACTTTTTGCACCATTTGTCCTAACCAGAGTCATGTTCTCCGACTCTGCCCCCAGTTTATAAAACTTTCGTTTGAGGACAAATTCTTGATTGTGAAAAAGAATAAGTGTTGTATAAATTGTCTTTCGCGTGGCCATGTAGTTAAATATTGTCGCAGTACCAATAGTTGCAAATCTTGCAAACAAAGGCACCACAGCCTTCTCCACCGGCCACAAACTAGTAGAGTTGTTGCAGCATTATGCTCAAAACCATCTCTGGTTTCCAACAATATTAAAAGTCGAAAATCTTCGATGTTCTGCAAGTCTGCTCAAAATATCATTTCGGATTCTAAAAAAATACCTCCGGCTTTTACTGAAGTCAAAAGTCGAGGTACAAACCCCCCTCCTACTTTTACGAATGTCAAAAGTCGAGGACCTAAGCCTTCTAAAACGCACCCACCCTCTGCTTGTAAAAGCCAGTCTCCCAACACCATTGAAGATAATGTGCTTTTGGGAACTGCAGTAGTCAACATAGTTCATAACGGTAAATCGTACACAACTCGCGCAATTGTAGACCCTTCTTCTAAGACATCAATTATAAGTAATAAACTTAAAAATGCACTTGGTATTTCAACTTGTTCTTTGACAAGCAAATCTAAATCTGCATCGCCGAGAGATGTCTGTTCTCTTAAGTTGTCTTCCCCTAGAAATGCATCTAGAATTATGGAAACAAAAGCGTTAATCTTGCCTAAGGTCAAAGGAAAGTTGTTCTTGTCACCATATACTTGTAATTTAAATTCCTGATCTTGAATTAGCGGATTCTTTCGATGACAGCCCAATTGATTTGCTACTTGGCGCTGACCTATACCCTAAGATTATTGAAGCTGAACCGCCCAAAATTGTTTTAGATTCTTTGCTAGCCCAAAAGTCTATTTTCGGGTATATTCTCGCCGGTTCAGTACCTCCAGCAAATGTTACATAATTTGGCACACAGTTTTGAAATCGACCAATCAAGAAAACCATTGTATCTTTTAAAATTCAATTTTTGTTGAAATAGTCAATTGCGCTAAACATGAAATAGTAAATTGCATCTATTTATAATTCGTCATATCGCTTTAATAATTTGAAAATCTGCAACTATAGCTCACTTAGGAATCTGAATTTACGTTCTTTCCTTACTCATAATAAATTTATATAGATTGCTAGACTCTTAGTTCTAGCAAGGGGCCGGAATGTATAAGTTCGATACGTTCCACCACAACTTTCCAATACTCGTCAATCACGGATGCTGATTGGCACACTGGCATCTCCTCTACAATTCCCTTGGCGGATACCGTAGTGAGCGGATCGCCGCTGGGTATTGGTTGTTGGCGGTAGGCTCACCTTGCTCTCATTGGAAGTAGTTGTAGTTGTAATAATATTCAGACATGGGACCCTCAGCGGTCACTCAGAACCTCTGCGTTCACTTGTCTGTGTTTCCATATGTATTAGAAATAGACAAGGGATCCTCTGCGATCACTAAGAACGTCTGCGTTCACTTGTCTTTGAGAAACGAAAGCGTAAGCACACGGCCTCTGTCGCCACCCCAATTACTAAAGGTAATTTGTCGTTCAATAAGAAAAGAAAGAAAGAACCACCAATAAAACATGAATTTACTCTAGAATTATTACTAATTATTCTTGTGTTTTATAATTAGCTATTTTCTTTCTTTTTACACCACACGCGCGAATCACCCGCACCACATCTCTCACCTACACATCATATCACATAATAACTCTGGGGAGTTTTTGTCTTGACGCTGAGTTAATATATATATATATATATATATATATATATATATATATATATATATATATATATATATATATATATATATATATATATATATATATATATATATATATATATATATATATATATATATATATATATATATATATATATATATATATATATATATATATATATAGATATATATAAATAATGTCAGATTATGCGAAAAATCAAACACACTCAAATACACTTTTGCAGTGGCAGCCGATAAATGGGATATTTTTCTCAGATCGAAATTAGAAAAACGTCGGCAAAGAGACAAAGCTATACTTAAGGAAGGAAATACCTATACGGAGGTATATATATATATATATATATATATATATATATATATATATATATATATATATATATATATATATATATATATATATATATATATATATATATATATATATATATATATATATATATTTGTCATTTGTCCAACATTGGTTCCTGAATTGGATAAGATAGAAGGCTAAAATTTGAGATGAGATAGAAGGCTAAAATTTTGCATACGTGATTATTTTTCCAGTAGGCAGTTTAAGTTCGTAAATGGGCCATGTAGGTCCACGTTTGCATATAGCCCCCATATAACCTTACTTCCCTATATTTCAAATTTGGTATTTGAAGTTCGAAATGGATACTACAGCTTATGACAGAAAATTATCTGTTCAGATCCACGTCTTCGAATAGCCCCCATACAACGGTACCTCCCGATATTCGGTATTTTGATGATTTCAGCGACATTATTTACCGGGATTGTTTCAAATTTGGCATTTGAAGTTCGAAAAGGATACTACAGCCCAAGACAGAAAATTGTCTGTGCAGGTCCAAGTCTTCGTATAGCCCCCATATAACGGTACCTCCCGATATTCGGTGTTTTGATGATTTTAGCGACATTATTCACCGGAATTCTTTCAATTTTGGTATTTGAGATTCGTAATGGATACTACAGCCCATGACATAAAATTGTCTGTGCAGGTCCACGTCTTCGTATAGCCCCCATATAACGGTACCTCCCAAAATTCGGTATTTTTATGATTTTAGCTCCATTATTCACCGGAATTGTTTCAAATTACGTATTTAGAGTTCGTAATGGAAACTACAGTCTGTGACAGAAAATTGTCTATGCGGGTCTAGGTCTTCGTATAGGCCCCATATATCAGTACCTCCCTATATTCGGAAGGTAAAATACCCACCGAAATTTTTTGAGATGTCGTATTTGACGTTCGTTATGAATGCTATAGCCTGTGACGGAATATTGTCTATGCTGGTCCAGGTCTTCGCACAGCTCCGATATAACGGTACCTCCCTATATACGATATTTTGATGAGTTTAGCTGCATTATTCACCGTTTATTTCAAGTTTCGAATTTGAATATGGTAGTGGGTTATGACAAACAAGGCCTATGTACGTCCACGACGTATAGACACTAATATAACGGCTATATTCGGTATTTTTAAAATTTTAATTTTAAGGACTTTATTTTTTGAAAATTTCCAAATTCGTTCCAAATGGTGGAGGGTATTCAAAGTTCGGCCCGGCCGAACTTACTGCTTTTTAACTTGTTTTATTATTTCTATGCTTGCTAAGCTTCAATATTTAAAAGTACTTTGTCGCTAACGTCACCAATTGTAATTTATTAGTAACGAGCTATACTAAACCGAACTGCAAGATTAATGATATCCAGGAAATAATGGTATCATGATTATCATATTAATGCTAGGAACACGACGAATTTTTCGCGTCGTATGTTCGTCGTCAAAAATAAAAAACATATGTGCATATGGAAATGCACATAGTCACGGCGCCGGCGAAAATTTCGTCGGACACCGCAACTCAATTAGCTTTATTTCTATTTCATAAGCCGGCGAACGGCGAACAAAACAGTACAAGGTGGTCATACTTGTACGAATTTTATGTGTTTTAGTAAATAAAGTTACTTTTTACTTTAAAATTTTGTTATGGTCCTCTAATATCTGTTACTCCTATAAAAATACATAATTAATACGTTTATTTATTTGTGTAATTGCGCCTGAGTGAAGATATATGGAGCCGCTGGAGTTTTTAGATGGCTACAAAGATGCACGAACGTAAGTATAATATGTTACTACCAAATTTTAATATGTTTTTATTTGAGTAGAACGATTGGAAACATTTATAACATAGACAATGATTTGCCAAGCATTCTTGATTGCTCGTCGTCTTCTGTCAACGATTTTCTGCTAACTGACGAAAGCAGCAGCCATTGTCTGTGCAGGTCCACGTCTTCGTATAGCCCCCATATAACGGTACCTCCCAAAATTCGGTATTTTTATGATTTTAGCTCCATTATTCACCGGAATTGTTTCAAATTACGTATTTAGAGTTCGTAATGGAAACTACAGTCTGTGACAGAAAATTGTCTATGCGGGTCTAGGTCTTCGTATAGGCCCCATATATCAGTACCTCCCTATATTCGGAAGGTAAAATACCCACCGAAATTTTTTGAGATGTCGTATTTGACGTTCGTTATGAATGCTATAGCCTGTGACGGAATATTGTCTATGCTGGTCCAGGTCTTCGCACAGCTCCGATATAACGGTACCTCCCTATATACGATATTTTGATGAGTTTAGCTGCATTATTCACCGTTTATTTCAAGTTTCGAATTTGAATATGGTAGTGGGTTATGACAAACAAGGCCTATGTACGTCCACGACGTATAGACACTAATATAACGGCTATATTCGGTATTTTTAAAATTTTAATTTTAAGGACTTTATTTTTTGAAAATTTCCAAATTCGTTCCAAATGGTGGAGTGTATTCAAAGTTCGGCCCGGCCGAACTTACTGCTTTTTACCTTGTTTTATTATTTCTATGCTTGCTAAGCTTCAATATTTAAAAGTACTTTGTCGCTAACGTCACCAATTGTAATTTATTAGTAACGAGCTATACTAAACCGAACTGCAAGATTAATGATATCCAGGAAATAATGGTATCATGATTATCATATTAATGCTAGGAACACGACGAATTTTTCGCGTCGTATGTTCGTCGTCAAAAATAAAAAATATATGTGCATATGGAAATGCACATAGTCACGGCGCCGGCGAAAATTTCGTCGGACACCGCAACTCAATTAGCTTTATTTCTATTTCATAAGCCGGCGAACGGCGAACAAAACAGTACAAGGTGGTCATACTTGTACGAATTTTATGTGTTTTAGTAAATAAAGTTACTTTTTACTTTAAAATTTTGTTATGGTCCTCTAATATCTGTTACTCCTATAAAAATACATAATTAATACGTTTATTTATTTGTGTAATTGCGCCTGAGTGAAGATATATGGAGCCGCTGGAGTTTTTAGATGGCTACAAAGATGCACGAACGTAAGTATAATATGTTACTACCAAATTTTAATATGTTTTTATTTGAGTAGAACGATTGGAAACATTGATAACATAGACAGTGATTTGCCAAGCATTCTTGATTGCTCGTCGTCTTCTGTCAACGATTTTCTGCTAACTGACGAAAGCAGCAGCCAAGCAAACGAACCTCGGCGGAAGTTCACCAAGAAGCACGCGGACGCAGAAATAACTACTGTCTTCAAGCAGGTTATGCAGGAGTGTGCAAATTCTATAAGAGAAATTGCTTCAGGGAGTGAAAGTGGCCGCAACTCAACCTTGTTGCTTTTCGAAAGCTTGGCCCAAAAACTAATTGGGTCGAATTTACCACAGGCCACAATATCAGAATTTGAGGCTAAGACTTTTGGTTTGATTTTCAATAGTCGATAAAAAAACAAAAGACTTTTTGAGTTTTGCCTTGTTAAGGCGAAGATCATATGTTTTATGATTTATGTGTTTGTTTTCTCTTTCGAGACGAGCTTAATGATCTGAAATTTGCAGTGAAAAAGAAAGCCAGATAGACACTATCACACACTCACCACTATGCGACGCGTTTCGTTTTCTTTTCTTGTAGCTTCTGCTACCACTTTATTTGAGTACTATTCGTAGACTAATTGAAAAACATAATTTTGGTTTTACTTATTAAATCAAAGTGCTTATTAAGCGTTCTTGTTCTTTTGCACGTTTATTATTGTATTTCAAAAATATTGATTACTTGCATACGCGTGTTAAATCAAATTATATTTCTCAACATTTTAGCTTGCCAGGTAAAATGCTAAAGTTGCAATTTCTGGGGTCAACACCATAAGTGTGCTGAATTATATTTCCGAACAAGTAAGCACACAACAAAAAATTACAACAAAAAAAATAATAAAGAAACAAGTGCATGAAGAACAGGAAACGCGTGTGTGTTATTTCAGAAAGGTAACCATTTAAATTAGGACGCGATGGGGTGATATCATAACTGCTAAGGTCGTGAGCTTAGTTTACAAGGAAATTGCCAAGAACATACCTTGATTTTTTTTTTTAAGTTTTAATTCCATGAACTGAATTTTTTCTTCTTTTGTTTTTTAAGTTTTTTTTTTTTTTTAATTATGACTGAAGTGACATTAGAAGTTGCCTTAGTATATAGTTTGTATTAAATACATTTGAATTTTGGTTTTGATTAAGATAAGATTTTTTATTTTAAATTAAATAAAATTGAATTTTTGATTACTAAAAAATTAATGAAATTGAATTCGAAGAAATTTTTTAGGAATGAATTTCAAAAAAGTGGTTTGTTGATTCGTCTCTCACAGCAAAAGCACTTGCTGATGAGCGGTTGGCATGGGAAATTCGGATAGAAGGCTGGGATTCTGATGCCTGCCTCCATGTACCACGAATAATAACTCCATTTTCTTCGTGATCCACCAAACTACCTTCAAAATATCCGCAGGTTTTATCTAACATTAGGTAATTATGAAGAACTACCGTTGCTAAAACTATTTTATCTACGTTTTTGGGTGACACTTGAATGTTTGTATGTAAAATCCTCCACCTGTTTGTTAAAATGCCAAAAGAGTTTTCAATGTATACACGAGCGGCAGGTAACTTTTTGTTAAAATTTTGTTTAGCGGCAGGCAAGCTTCGTCCTGGATATGGCCTCATTAAATTTTTCTTCAAAGGGAAAGCATTTTCTCCCACAAAGAAATACGGAAACGTTTTATCAGTGCCTAAATGTATAAACTCAAAATTTAATTACTATAATTAAATGTACAAAATCTTTTACCAGGTAGTTTATCATCAGGGGGAAGATTAATTTGATTTCTCAAAATCATTTTTTCAAACGAACTTCTTGCAAAGACTCCACCATCACTTTGGCTGCCAAAAGCTCCAACATCAACAAATATAAAATTATAATCCGCGTCACATACCACCATTAGCACAATGCTAAAACTTTTTTTTATAATTATAAAAAAGTGAACCGCTATTTTTTGGACAAAAGATGTTGACATGCTTGCCATCAATAGCCTCAACACAATGCGGCATACCTGTTTTCGTGTAAAATCTTTTCACATAAAATATACATCATATATTATTATTTTATTTAACACTATAAATTTAAGTTTCCAAAACTTTCAGCAATGCTTTTCCATTTATGGTGATTAGGTTGGGAAACATATACCTTTTGAAGCTCGCTCCATAACGCATCGCAAGTTTCATAAATTATCTTTCTCACAGTCGAAACACCCATTTTGTATATCTTTGCCAAAAACTGTGCACTGCAACCATGAGCTAGGTATCTGACAATAAAATATATGGATCAATTGTTGTCTGAAAATAAGTTCTCAGCAAGCACTTACATTAGAGTTAAGCCCAAACGTGTTTCCTCATCAATTGGTTTTCTTTTTGAAAATCTTTGAAATCGTGGTTTAAGCAAATCTAGAAGAGAAGAAGTGCTCTTCAGAAGAAAGAAGTGCTCTTCATCTCATAATTTTAGCTCCGTAAAAGCCATTCTCTGGAATCATTCGGTGTTTCTTTTAATGTTCACTGGCCGTACCCACCATCTTCTCCGTAAACGTTTTCGCACAAGCAGATAAGCTTTTACTATAATATACAATTCTCTGATTCATTGTAGTCAACAAATGAGCAAAAAGTAAACAACTTCATCAGCTGTTTTATAATTTCGTCGGTATTGTTTTCCATGCGACGAATTTATGCGGCTCATTTTGTCGCCGCGTAGGGCGAAATTCGTCGTTCGCTCCAATTGTGTTCCTAGCATAAGTGTCTAAATTTAGCTGCACGAACTGCCGATAACCTCAAAGAAGATAAAGGTTTGCGATAGTGTCGTGATAAATTCTGTGTTTATGATCCTGAATATAATCAAATTGATTTAGAAGCTAACTAAACATTAGATAAGTTTGCTTAATAGAAGGAATTTTTTGACAAACAATCGAGTTTAGATCATTTCCTTAAATCTCCATTGGACTTTGTCATAAAAAGAAAAAAACGTCTAACATCATGACTTTTGCCTCACGAAATGTAGCTTCGGTTAACGCTATTGCAATACCACAAATTTCTATCGAACTTCCTCTAATAATTTTACCCAATATGACTGATTCCAGAAAAGAGTCAATGTCGCAATTGGGCCTGCAATTGACTCAAACCTTTTCAACAACCCCATCGAGGGCAACAACAACAAAGCCCTCATAAATAAACTGCCCGTCCATATCGATCTACAACACCCACTGGGTCAAATCGATCATTTACATCATCAGAAACAACATATTCAAATTATACATTAATACATAAGGAACTTTGGCCCTCTAAGACACTTATTCACCACTATGTATATAGATATCCTCCAAGGACTTAAGCTGTCGTTTTAGCTGTCGACATTTATGGAAAAATTCATTTATTATACCCTACAGGGGTATAGCAAGGCTAAGTGGTATACCAAAACTCATTGCGAAAATTCTTAGTGATACGGGTTCCTTCCAAGTCTCCTCTATACTATCCAATTTTCAGCACGGATTTAAAAAAAATGCTCAACTATTACAAATATTTTAAAACTGACAACAATTGTAAACGATGGTTTTAAAAGTATAATGCGAACAGACACTATCTACACGGATTTCAATAAAGCATTTGATAAAGATAAGTGTCTGAATCTTGATAAGATCTGTTAGAATGGATAAAGTCTTATTTATCATGAAGAACGCAAAATATAATTCTATAACTATCCTTATTTCTTCTGGAGATCGTCAGGGCAGTCAAATTGGACCTATTCTTTTTAACTTTTTTATTAATGTCTATCAACAACTATAAAGTACCCAAATATAATGTAATGTACGCACCAACAGGTTTAACGTACTAAAATATATTAATGTACCCAGGCGAAGTAAAAATTTTGCAATCCTACAATGATCCGATTGAACTAAAGTTGCAATGTAAATCTTTTAACGCAAAATATCACTTTGAAAACAATGAGCTAGAATCTGTTGAATATGTCCACGATCTTGGTATATTACTTCATCAACGACTAAGTTTTCGTCAACAAATATCAGTACTGAAAAAATGGAGCATGGAGTTTTCTGACCCACTAGTTACAAAACAACTATATTTTTCCATTGTTCGAAATTTACTTGAATATTATGTTATGTAATACACTCTAGTCTGATTGAATCAAAAACAATTTCTATTGTTCCTTTTGTGTAGTCATTTATGGAATCATCATTATGAAACATTACCCTCTTATGAAACCGAACTTTATACCTTTAAACTTCCTTCATTGAAAAGTGCGAACAATGCTTGGAATAAACTTTCTACTGAACGGCAAAATATTTTCCGATTTAGACAGACCTACAAAGAATTTTAACAAAGACATAGAAGTGTAAAGATAGGACAAGAGTTAAAATATGGTAACCCTGAGAAAATACCTCTGTTGTTACGATATCATAACTACATAGTTACCAATGTTAACTGATTTACACCGCTAAGGCAATAAGCAAATTTGCGAAAAGACCCATGGAATAGAATTTTGAATCCAAAAATTTGGATTTTTCAAATATTAACATGTCTTTGCCATGAGCTGTTACTCTATGTATTGTAGACACAAACCATTTGCTCAAAATGCATTTTGTCTAGTCTTTACTATTTTAGGTCTTTGATTTTAATTTACAACTGCTTTAATTCCAATATTATAAGTATAACTATGCAAAAAAAAAAAAAAAAAAAAAAAATACAATATAATGAATCTATCTGAAAATAAAGTACTTTGAAAATGCAGCTTCTTATAATAATTGATATGTATATATGTAAATTATATTAGTCTGTAAGGATATATGTATTATCCATAGACTTATTAAAAATGATTGAGGGTTTAACTTTACTGCTTGTTTATTTTTTAACTAATCTTTTATAAACGTAAGTTAAAAGCAATACCAGCGACAGGGTTATATGTATGGCTCAATAAGAAAGGTTGGTCAACTTCAATACAACTTGCAAAATTCAACTCTGTGCTGGAGTCTTTAAGTGTCAAATAAACTATTAAATATGCAACAGTTGGCTTTGTTTATTTTTATTATTATTTTTTTTTTTAACAAAATTCTTATATTGGGAAAAACCTCGAAACAAAAATGGAATTTCGGATTGAATCTAAAAGGGAATCTCGGGGTTATTCTATAAGATTGAATCTTATACTGCGAAAATTTGCATTAATTTTGGAACCAAATTTGTACATACAAATACAAATTATTGTATTTTTATTGAAAACAATACACACACATACACAAAATGTTTATATGTTTTGACAGAAAAAGGGCACCAAAAGGAAAAAAATGTATTTAGGGGTTAGCTTTGTTCAACCTTTTGTAATTGTACCATGCAACCATGGCATGGTACAATAAAAGGTAAGGTAGTGCTACCAGCTGATTACAATTTTTTTCTAAGTGTGCCCGACTTCTGTCAATTTTGTGTATGTTTCATTGTTTGAAAAATAAAAACAGAATATTTTTAAAACCAATACACAAAATTTGTATATGCTCTGACAGAAAAAGGGCACCAAAAGGAAAAAATTGTATTTACGGGATAGCTTTGTTCAACCTTCTGTAATTATGCCATGTTTATATGCATGGTACAATAAAAAGGTAAGGTAGAGCTGCATGTTGATTACAACTTTTTTCTAAGTGCGCCCGACTGCCAATTTTGTGTATGTATTTATTGGTTTGAAAAATAACAAGTAAAAAAGTTGTAAGTTCGGCCGTGTCGAACTTTGAATACCCTCCACCATTTGGTACAAATTTGGCAATATTCAGAAAAATAAAATCCATTAAAAATTCTTTTAAAATCTTAAAACTACCGAATGTAGCCGTATATTAGGGTCTATACGACGACGTGGACCTGCATAAGCAACTTTTGTCATAAGCTAATATAATATTCAAATGCTTAACTTGAAAAAAAATCTGTTTATAATGTAGCTAAAATAAATAAAATGCCAAATATAGGGAGGTACAATTCGTGGACCTGCACAGACAATTTTCTGGCATAGGCTGTAGTATCCATTACGAACTTCAAATACAAAATTTGAAATAATTAAGGTAAATAATGTCGCTAAAATCATCAAAATACAGAATATCGGGGGGTACCGTTATGTGGGGGCTATACGAAGACGTGGACCTACATGGATCATTTTCTATCTGAGGCTGTAGTATACATTACGAACTTCAAATACCAAATTTGAAAGAATTCCGGTAAGTAATGTCGCTAAGATCATCAAAATACCGCATATCGAGGGGTACAGTTATATGGGGCTATACAAAGACGTGGACCAGCCCCTTTTCAATACCAAAAGTCCTGCAGACATAATACACATTTGAGTAAATTTTTATCAACTTATTCATTTTGTTCGGAAGCTAGAATGATTTCCACAGACGGACAGAAGGATAGACGGACGGACATTGATAAATCGACATAGAATTTTATGCTGATCAAGAATATATATATTTTGTGGGGTCTAAAATGTATATTTCGAGATGTTACAAACGGAATGACAAACTTAATATACCCTCCATACTATGGTGGAGGGTATAAAATCGAAATATTTTTAAAACCAGTGATTGGAAGACACGTAGATTGCGCATTAAAGCCATTAACCAGTTTAACCATGAAATTGAAAAATTGAACAGTTTAGATCATATTTTGGAGCGTTTTATAACTCGTTTTAATAATGAGAAAAATGGGAACAACTTGTTGCACATAATTTTGAATGAGTCTGACAGAAAGCGAGCATAGCCTCAGGGCTGTATTTATTTAGTTTTACGAAGCCTACCTCCTTATTGTACCATGATTACATGTACATGCATATATATCAAACAAAGTAATTTTAATACATGCTAATTTCAAAAGTGTACATTTCTGGAATTTAAAAATACTAAATGAAAATTCCTTAAATGTTTATTTTAACTAATTCAAATCATTCCTCTAAATAGATAGTGACCAACTGTAGGTAAAAATCGGTAGGAAAACGTCCTTCTTAAATTAAATGAAATGTCACACATATTACATTTTGAAATTAAAAAAGAAAATCTGTGCCAACCTGTTTCCTGTCAACACTGGTACGAAGAGTCACTTGTCATACTCTACATTCCTTGAAATCTGATTGCTTGACTCTAGGAAATGTTAACGGCCAATAACTCTTGCATTATTATTTACTTTGTTACCAGTAGTACAGACTAACTGTACATAATAAATGAATTTCTAGACATTTAGTATGAGCTTGACACTCAGAAGTTACTACCGACATCGTCAGAAATCAGTTAGTAGTTCTTACAGGGGCTTATCGAGTCATCGAAAACAAAGGGTCAGTAGTCCATGGGAGCCATATGGAGATTAATTGGTACTAGTAAGTCAGTGATATATGAGGCCATAAAACTACATTAGTACCACAGATTATTTTTGCATATTATTCGCATTTAAGGAATTGTTAACATATTTCAAAACTGCTAATCTCTTTAGTAAAGCTACTTCAGTAAAAGACCTAAAGATTGGTTTCAGTAGCATATATAGCAAAGAAAATTCAACATATTTTCAACACTAAAAACAACAATTTGTTACTTAACGTCTCTTTTTTTATTAACAGTGTTATTATTTTATAAACACCCATACATAACCCTCCGTGGTACGACCTAAGCGTGCACAATAACTTTAATATCCAATCGCCAGCAAATCCGAGCCCAGTGCGATAAAAAAAATGAACAAAATCAACATAAAGGCGGAAAAATTTCTAATTGTACACAATTATAATTGTGCGCTTCTATCGTATAGATTACCAGGGAACTAGACTTTAAATTTAACTTGATTGTAAAACTTGCTCCTGACGATAAAACTTGTAATTAGTGATACGATTTGCCCAGTAAATTCGGTCCACTTATATTACGGTACTGGAAACAAGTTGAGTGGCAATGCAAATAGAGAGAAGTCGTGGATATGTTCGGCAGAGAAAGAAGAATAAGCAAACACTTTAAGCCTGCGTAGATAGGAAAAGGTCTTTAGGAACATCGGTAGAATCCTCGAAATAGGTTTTACGATCCACACTGGTTTCTTGATATGAACATAGCTGACCCATGGTATAATCAAGAAGGTAAAGTCATTTCAAATAAGCTTTCTCATCTTTGCATTTTCAGTAACTGAGCCTGTCAAATAAATCTTTCATATTCATATGAACTGTCACCACAAAAACAAGACTTGTTTATTTACATTTATAAGCCATTGTGGCAAATATTCAGAGAGGTTAAAGTATGACGTAGTCGGCTCCACCCATGATTAGCCCAACATGTGTCCCATAAATTAAGTATTTTTACCGAAGTTCAGCCTTTTTATCCAGATTAAAACAAGACACATTTTTTTAGGGAGAACACCGTACTTCCTTCGATATGGGGTTCGCGTAGGGGGTGTTGGGAAAATTCCAGAGGAGAAGACTACAAGTCTCATTCGATGGCCGGCTACTCAAAAAGAGTATAAATTTTAGAAAAGAATAAATATTTTAGAAAAGAGTAAAAAAGAATGCATCAATTGATATATCTGGTTCCTCCCCAAAGATTTTGAATAAACATAAATCATATAAAATGTTGGAGAGAGAAAGAGTTGTCCTCAAATTTCACACATCCCAACATTTCCGCCAACACGAGATCTGGTATGAAGAGCGGATCTCTTTTTCTGGTACCTCCACCAAAATGGGTGAACATTTTGTAAACTCATAAACCTCACAAAATGATGATGAAAAAATGGGATGCAGCTCCGTTTGGAAAATTTTACGATGCCTGTCACAAAAATTATAAGAGTCATATGCTTGAGACCATAATTTACGTCTTCTTCGGACTTGGAAACAATAAAAAAAAATTCATTCCAGCTAAAATTGATTTTTTTGGAAAAGAAAAACATTTTTAATTTATTCAAATTCAAAATTTACGTTTTTATTATACCCTCCACCATAGTATGGAGGTATTTGAAGTTCGCCTACAGCCTAAGACAGAAAATGAGGCATGTGGATCCACGTCTTCGTATAGCCCCCATAAACGGTACTCCCGATATTCGGTATTTGGATGATTTTAGCAACATTATTTGCCTGAATTATTTCAAATTTGTATTTGAAGTTCGTAATGGATATTACAGCCTATGCCAGAAAATTGTCTGTGCAGGTCCACGTTTTATTAGCCCCATGATACCTCCCCATATTCGGTATTTTGATGATTTTAGCTAAATTATAAACATATTTTTTTCAAGTTAAGCATTTGAATATTATAATAGCTTATGACAAATTTTGCCTATGCAGGTCCATGTCGTCGTATAGACCCTAATATATGGATACATTCGGTATTTTTAGGATTTTAAAAGAATTTTTAATGGATTTTATTTTTTTGAAAATTGCCAAATTTGTACCAAATGGTAGAGTGGTCTCAAAGTTCGGCCCCGAACATACAACTTTTTTACTTGTTTTTATTTTGAGTTTATGCTTGTCAAAATAATTTTGACATTGTCATATGCACAATTTTGAAAAAAAAAATAATGTAAACATATGAATGCATGACTTTACCTTCTTAGTTTTACCATGACCTGATTTGATGGATTCCCGAAGGCACGAAGGTCCGAACCATCAGAGGTAATTGTTACCGGTGTCTTTGGTAAAAGACGGTCGGTTTGCT